AAATAAATGCTAGAGCACATATAGATAAAATGCCCAATATATCCATAGGAAGGACTGAGAGTAACTCCAAGACTTCACTGGTTGTATTCATTGAAGGAAAGTGTATTTCATTAGCTGAATCTAACTTATTCAAGGCTATATTCTGTTTTAATTTATTCCTTCAAAGCACTGCACTGATACGATCAACTCAAAGGTAATTCAATCATATAAATTCTTAAATATTCTATTATCTTTTATTTTAACACTATAACTTTTAATTTATATAGATGATCTATCGGCCAGTGGCTTACAAAAACTGTTTTTTATCATAAATTTTATTTTTTCTCCAATTTTCATTTTGATTAAGTATCGGAAGTAATCAGAGACAAAAGAAACTTATAAATTCCACTTCTAATGGCGAGATTAAAGTTCGATCATAAAACATTTTTTTTACTATAACATTTTTTGCATAATTTATTTTCTAAGAATTAAACCCTTATTTTATTTCTGTAACTTGAATGGCCAACGTTTAGAACTTTATTTTTTCATCAGCAGGATCTTCACCTTTTCTTGCAATTATCACAGTCTTTGTCAGTTATCGGTTAAAATTTATTCATTTCCATTTTATTTTCTGGAATATTCACTGTTATTACTACTAATCATTATATATTTGTTCTTCCATTAGGTTCAATTATGTATTTCAAACTGTATGATGTACAGCGTTGAACATATTGAAAGCAATAAGTTATAATGATTTGTAATAATAATAGTGAATATTTCAGAAAATGAAATATATAAGAATCAATTTTAACAAATAATTGATAAATATTAAAATAATTTAAGAAAAGATCAAGGTTGTGAAGATAAACAAGTAAGTTTGAAACATTGACCAATCAAGTTACGGAAATAAAATGTGTTTAATTCTTAAAAAACTATTTTGAATTGTTAATATTTCTTTTTAAATTTTTATTTTTTGAAATAAAAGTTTTGTTCTAAATCATGTTTTCAAAATTTAATAATAATAATAAAAAATAAAAATGAAGTAGACTCCTTTTAAGCAATTATTTCACAAGATGGATAATAATCTGGAAATCAGGTTTTTATTATTATTATTTTTCTTTAATAAGATATAATAGTAATAAAAAGATAAAAAAATAGTTTTGTATTAAAATCACTTGGTCGTTTCATGCTTACGTTAAATTTTAGATGTTTCCTTATGATTACAAAAAACTTTAGACTTCTAAAAATTTGGATTAAAATTTACTCATGTATAAAGTTCTCATACAGCAAAGAATCAGCTAATTAAACAACTTTAGCAAATGGTACAATTTAAAAATTTAAATACTTCTTTTAACTTTTTTTAATATATGCCAATAAATAAATTAAGTTGAACTCCAGCAAGTTGTATTGTAAAAAATATGTTCAATAACTATGTTTTTATCACCTTCATTATTTCTTACAAGAACACAGAATATGAATCCATTGATAACAAAACTCATTTAAAAAACAATGCTGATTGTTGTTGAAACCAATCATATTAAATATTTAATTTAAACATGAAACAAGAACTTTATAAAATCAATTATTGCAACCATACACTGAAATGCTTTGGTTAGCCATTCATCAGATGTTCCTGAAGATTTCCTTGCACCTTCACACGTTTCTTGAAACAAGTGTTATACCTTAACAAAATCATTAAATCCCTACGCTAGAAATTTCTTCTTAAGTAATGCAGGGGAGTATACTCAAGAGATCATTCGATGAAATGAGGATGGGACTAGTTTTGTATTTTGCAGCTTCTCAGTTCAATAAGGCACTAAAATGAGTCGTTATAACCATGGCTGCTACATCTTTTAGAAATAGATTTCTGTGACTTTAAAATTCATGGGACCAGAAATATTTGTCTCTATAACTAATATATATTGGGTTGGCAAATAAGTCCTTTTGGTTTTTCTGTTTATTTTTATGTCACTATGATACACTTCGTATCTGATGAATTAATTAATCCCTAAGGTGGATTGTTTATCCTGTTTGTATTATGTCCACAACTATATCTGTTAATTCTTGTTGAAACTAGCTTAGTATTGTGTTTGCTATTGCAATGTGAATATAGAAGAAAATATTCATTGTCGGCATATTTTGTTGTTTTATTTTAAAAAAGATAAGCGTGCTACAGAAGCTCATAGAAAAACTTGCAGTGTTTATGGGGATGATGCCTTAACCGAACGCACCTGTCAAACTTGGTTTGCCAAATTTCATTCATGAAATTTTGATATCAATGATGATCAACGGTCTGGTCTCCCACACAAAATTGAAACAAGCAATGTCAAGGTTATTGTTGATCAATATCCCACCCAATCAGTGTGAGAGATTGCTATGGCCCTAAATGTGTCGCACACAAGTGTACAAAACTATTTGCACGAGCTCGGCTGTTTACAGGTTTGATGTTTGGGTCTCTCACTCTCTAACCCAAGTCAATTTGGCAAAATGCATTTCTGTTTGTGATTCAATATGGAAATGGCAACAAAATGAACCATTTATGAAAAGGTTGGTAACAGGAGATGAAAAATGGATATTTTATGATATGTAGAAAATCTTGGGGACCTTCTTCTAGTGAGGCTCCTAGAAGAATGTCAAAACCCGGATCGCATCTAAAGATAATGCTTTCCATATGGTGGGATATGAGCTATTGCCATCAGAAAAAACAATTGATTCAACTCTATAATGCTCACAATTAACAAAATTAGATCAATCGATTAAAAATAAATACCCCGAAATGGCAAATCGGAAGGTTGTTATGTTCCACCAAGACAACGCTAGACCCCACACCTCATTGGTCACTTGAAATAAATATTGAGCCTTGGATGGGACTTTTTGCCCCACCTTATTCATCAGACCTAGCTATATCTAGCTCCAAGTGACTACCACTTATTCCGGTCTCTGTAGAACTCCATGAATGGAAAGAAATTCCAAAAGGAAGAGGACATCAAAAACCACTTGGATCAGTTTTTTAACGATAAAGTACAGACATTCTATGAACAAGGCATTATGCTGCTAGTTCAAAGATGGGGAAAATTCATATTAAATAATGGTCAATATATTGTAGATTAAAATAAATTGAGTTTTATTTCACCCTGAAAAACTGAAACAAAATACACATGAATTTTCCAACCTCTAATACAGTTTCAAAACTGAGGATGTTCTAGAAAAAGGGATTATAAAATCAGATATACATAAATCTTTATTTATTTATTAAATTTACTTGATTTAGTGCTCATAGAATCAAACCATGCATTTCTTTGATGATCTAAAACTATGAAAAAATAATAACTAAGCCGGAATGAAAATTTATTTACAATTATACTTTCTAAAAAAAATAATATATTCTAATGAACAATTAGAGTCTAACTATTGTACATTTAAATGGCTTTTTAGAGAAAAAGATTGAATACATCTGTATAATAATATAAAGGATTTCCATAAGTTCCAACAAATTTATGTTTATGAAAACTAAAAGTAACTTTAATAATATTAAAAAAAAAATACAAGTGCACCAGATTTATTTTCCTAAATTAAAGTAAATTATTTATAATAGCTATTAAAGAAAGTGATATACATTCTAAAAATATATTTGATCATCAAGGATATAAAATATCTCATAAAAACTAAATAGATTAAGATATCACTTTATTTAACTGCTGATGAGCAAATAACGTATTTAATAAATTATTATAACTATAACTATTTTATTTGGACAAAAATTGAAAAAAAAAATATTTACATTCAAAAATTAAGAAAAAAACTATATTCGACTAAAACACAACCAAATTATTTGATATATATAAAAACTACAATTGTCATAGAAACAATGACAAGGTTCTAAGGGCTAGTATTATAAAGCAAAAATTCTACTCAGATTTGAAGAAAATCAAGGTTTTATAAAAAAAGTATTTTTTTTTAATTAATAGATTTTTCAGATACTAATTGAAGTTCACTTCAACATTTATTTCACTGACTACTTTCTACCAACTAATATTCTCCGCTAACTGTACTGAATATTTTTTTTTATTCAAAGGAAAACCCTATCTTTTTACAAATCCATATTCATACATCTTTATAATACTTGCCCGAACTCGATACAAGAAAAAAGTCATTTTTTTTATTATTTTTTTTTAAAAACATAAAATTGGTTCTACTATATATCTTAAAATAATAGTAAGAATGACATTTAATTCTTAATCTTACAGACACTCTAATTCGTTTCACAGAAAAATCAATATATATTTTATAATCTGTGTAATCATTCTTTATTATTAAGTAAGTAAACATATATTAAAAAAAAACAGAAAATGATAACTGGATCAATCAACAAGAGAATAGATGCAGTTATCACAGAAATTTCCACAAATAAGGCTAACAAATTAAATCAAGAGATACAAAAAAAAATTATATACATAAGTACAATATGAGACAGCCAACTATCATCAATTGCGCTTATATAATGCAAGTTACATATCAATTCTGTTCAAATAGAATTTAAAATAATAATATTATTATATATGCTACCCAAAATTGAAGAGAATAGACATATTTGAAGAACACTTACAGTTATAAGTGAAATTTTATTAAAAAATATTTTTTTTGTTTGTGTCAAAAGCAATTGACGATGACTAGATACAAACTATAAATAGATCACATTACTAAAAGTTTGGATTAAAATTATATAAGACGGTTTGGAGCTATTTCGAATGATGTAACAACACATAACAATAATAACATTTGTTTAGGATAATAACATTTTTCTCTCCTTTTATTTAGCAGTGGCACTCATAGAACTGAACATTTCATCTTTGTATCAACAATTGCACAGTAACATAAGGTTAATAATCAAAATTTTGTTTTGTTACAAAAAATTAGGTGAGAAACGAAACCTTTTCATTTAGTTTTCTTTCATGAATTAGTTTTCTAAAAATTATTGTAATTTTTAAATTAAAGAGACAAAAAAAAAAAAAAAAAAAAAGAAACTGTTTTATTACTTAGTATTCAATTGAATTTTAAAATGTGTTCAATAAAATGTATTTCTATAATAAAAAAAAAAGAGAGGAGGATAAATATAAGAAATATTGCCTTCGAAAAATTGACAACTTACCAATATTTACTACTTCAAAATGTACGAAAAAAATCAAGTCTTAAAAATAACTCGTTGAATTCTGTTCCTTCTTTACTAGCTAAGTAATAATTTCTAGATGGTTAGGAATAAAATACAATCACAATAATTATAAACTGATTTAACATTTCGAAAAAAATAATAGAAAAAAAAATTGTTTTTCTGAATTACTTATAGGATTCTCATAAATATTTAATTCTATTAAATGGTCTATTAGCTACTTATAACAAAATACATTTTTACTTGATACCGTTCTAAAAAAAATTCATCATCATCATCGCTGTGTGAATTAGTTCATTTAATAATGTTTTTATAAAACGATCTACTCCAGTTTAAAACGAAATTGATCCGAAAATGAACCAAGGCTGAGGAGAGTTTTAAGAGTTTATTTTGGGAAAGATGTGTTTAGTTTTGGTTTATAGCTTCATATCACCAGCGACAATACTAGAATACATATGCTTATCGAGGGGCACATAAGTAGATCCTTGCCTAAAATATAATTTATCCGGCACATCATCCGGGTTGAAACCCTGGCGTTGAAGTTGACCTTTCATCAGCTTAAATGTGCCAGTTAATTCCATAGCAGATAAGACTCTCAGAAATAGAGGCCTTGCATATTGTGGCAGCGCTTTATCCAGAGCTAGTGCGAACTTTGGCATATCTAGTTCGTTACCAGGGTCCACTACGGCAGCCATACCAGCCTTGCCTTCCAGTTCTCCAACCTAAGGTACATATATTATTAAAAAAACTGATTTATTTGTCTTTTCTTTAAGAATTAAAAAAAAAAAAATATGATCACACTCTTAGGTTAGTTCACAAAGAACAAAATCTTTCAAACTATGATGCACATAATATACAGAAGAATACAATATCTTAATGGCTAAATTTAATTGAAAAGATGAAGTCTGCATAGGATCCAAATATTGATAAGAAAATATCCTACTTCACTATAAGGATATTATACGGCAGAATCCTGATATTTTTTATCCTAAGGATTTATAAATCCTTGAATTCATGTAAAAATAATGCATTTCAGTTCCTTCCGTAATTTGTATTCATTTTTGTTCTCCTAATCATTAAGTCTTAAAATTCTTATATTTATTTTCAAATAGGTTAGCAACATATGATTTCTAATGCTTAAGTAAAGGTTATTAATAATCACTATCACTCTAAATAAAAAAATCTGGTGAGTGCAACACACAACTTTCACTTACCACTCAACTATGAATAGGAATTATTTTCTGGCCATGTTGGGCTATTATAAAATTGTATTTTTAACTGAGCTAAAGCTAAAAAATTACAGCTAACAAATCATAAATACCATAATTAAAATAACCGAAGTCCTATTTATTACATCACCAGTTGATTATGGATTGTACAACTATTAGTTATCAAACTGCTATTTTCCATTGCAAAGTTCACTAAAACGGAATTAAGAGATTAGCATTGTCTGTCATAGACAGGTCAAAAGTTGTCACACTAATTGTAAGTGGATACTGTTGGAATATCACAAAACAAAATTTCATCAAACTATTTAAACAGACGATAGATACCTAAATATTTAAATATAATATCAGATCTGGAGTTATTAAAATACAGTAAATATATTTAAGGTTATAAACATATCTATGAAATATTCTTATATTTCACTTATTTTTTTACAAAAGTACAATGAAATAGTAGTGGATACTGTTGGAATATCTCAAAGGGAATCAAGAAATTTCATCAAACTATTCACTAATTTAATTTTCTAAAAAGTTAGATGACAATATTACGGAATAAGTGGACGTTGATACTTAATTATTTAAATATAATATCAGATCTAGAGTTATTCAACTACAGTAAATGTATTTAAGGTTATAAACATATGCTTTATACATCCATGAAATGATTTTATATTTTACTTCTTCTTACACTCACACAAGCACAATGAAGTAGTTTTTTAAACAATGCCATTGCCTTGATCAGCTGGAGTTTAAATACTTTTTTCAAACTTAAAAATATTTTAAAAGTTGACAATTATTAAGTAAATTTCATTTAATTCCCTTGAAAACATGTGATTTAAGATGTGACATTTACATTAAATAATATTGGTTTTCAAAAATTATTATTTATAATTTTTTGCCACTCTCCGTTACTTTCTATATTACATATTGTTTTTCCTAAAATTATCTGCTTTCCGATATATTATACATATATCTACTGACCGGTATTTCCAGAGATTTATTTTTGACCTGGATAAGCATTTTAATTTTTCTTCTTTATTCAATTATCAAATTCTTTCAAAAGTTATATTTACCATTTTTTTTGTAACTTTGAATAATGTGAAATCATTAACGGTTTAAAATAAACCATATTAAAGGTACTTTAGAGGAAGATGTATATTGGGCATTTAAGCCCTGCAAAGTGAAGGCCTAATTGATATTAAAGATCACTTAATTATAAAATAGTTTAATCAAAATCGTTTTAGCTGTTTTTGAGAAAATTGTGTTTCAGCGTTGCTTATAAAGTGGCACTTTCGGCTAGCCGATTTTAAAAAAAAGTTGCTGTCACATCTAAAGCATATACCTATCTTATACATAATATTAGTTTTGTAAGACTTTTCGTTTTTGAGCTAGACTGCTAACATACACAGCATTTTTCGGGACTTGGTTATTTGGACTCAGAGTACCCCAAATGTGTATTTCCGTTGAAAACTCAAATTCAAAAATGTTCTCGATCACAATACTTACTCTAACTATATATTACATATATACGTAAGCGAAAGTAAAAATAACAGGATGGAGCACTGCAAAATCGATCAAACATTTGTATATGAAAAAAAAAAAATATTTTAAGAGTCATACTAATTCACAACGGGAAAGGTGGGCGCTGTTGAAGCGCTCTCGGCTATGTCCTTATAGCTTCCTACCCTTATTTCTTTTTTAGTTATCAATCAATTTTCTGCATTCGCTATATTTAACCATTTATTATATCACTTCCCAATGTGAAATAGTTAATTATTTCATATAGAAAAAATTAAGGGTACTTTAGAAGAAGAAATCTTGGCTTTAGAAATATTGAAAATTAGGCATTTTAACCCGTGAGAGAACATAAATGAAAATAAGACTTACATTATATTTTAAACTCCTTAACTTTACACTGATATAATGAATTTAATCAAAAACCATTAAAACTGTTTTGGAGAAAATTATAAAAATGTATAAAATCAATTATATCAAGTGGAACTTCTAGTAAGCAGATATTGACAAAAAAGTTACAGTAACATCCCAGCTATGTACAAACCTTAAATACCCAATTTCAGTTGCATATGACTTTTCGTTTTTGAGCTGTTCACACATTAATCTATATTATTAGAATACTTTTTTTATCTTGAGTGGTAATCAGACAAAAAGAGTGGATCGATATAATACATCAATGATAAACAACCTCATTTATGTTATTAAATTTTTTGTGAGATTAAAAGAGGTTTTGGTACAAAATTACTCATATTTTGATTAAATATAATAATAGTAAAATATTCAGAGTAAACTGAAGAATCATTCAAGTCAGAAAATTTATAGCTTTATAGCATTATAATTGACATACCTGAACTCCATAGACAGTGCAATCTTTGAGCCCAGCAACAGCACTGACGACAGCTTCAACTTCGGAAGTAGCAACATTTTCTCCTTTCCATCTAAAATCAACATATTTTTAATTTTATAGGTTTTTTTTCTCTTTTCTTAAAGCCTAAAGTTACAATTTGTAATAATAATAATTTTAAAAAGTAACTAAATAATATAAAAAATTTAATGTTCAAAAATTGTGTCAACAGTCAAACTTTACAAGCTAAGCAATAGATAAGAGATTCTCCTCTTAATTTTTTTAATTAAGAGGACAATCCAAAGTAAAAACATTATATATCTTAATGGTTTTAATGCACATTAATAACTGTAGTTTAGATAAACAATTATTAATAATACAGTAATATAATTAGTATCTGAATATAATACTAAAAATCAGATCCAATTAAAGCATACTATTATAAATTAATTTACTTGTTTTATTACTAATATAACCAATGATTATTTGATATACAAACCTATATGTGTCACCAGTTCGATCCTTGAAAAATATATAACCATACTCATCCATTACCATAAGGTCACCTGTAAATGAACAAAAGATCAATGTATTCGTCAATTAAAATGCACAACAGCCAAATGTTTTGATAAACATAAATATTATAAAAAGTAACATTTTGAAAAATATACTTTCACAGAATTTCATCACATTTTAACTTATTTAATAAAAATTGCAGCATGCGTATTACAGTATCACACTAAAGAATAAAAATTGTCTAGTACTTCAGCCCTCTGTGAGTGGGATTCATTCACTGAATTGTTCCCGTTACTTTGTTCTTTCCCACATTAAAATATGATTTTTTTATAATTGGCTTACACATTTATATATATATATATATATATATATATATATATATATATATATATTTAAAATAACAGTTAAATATACATATTTTTTAATTTTAATTTATTAATTGTCTTACATTATACTGCAACATTTACATTATTTTTTGATATATTATAATTTTTTTTTTGGTACATATAGTGTCATTATTTTTTATTGTTCATTTGAATTTTTTTTATTAACCTTTTTTATTATTAATCAATTTATGATATGGAAAATTTTTAAAAACATTTCATTGGATGGTAAATTTCATTGCATATATTTGAATTAAAAAATGTTTAAAATATTTTTAAAACTTATTTTTAACTTTCGCACTTAAAACACTAGAAATAGGGGTAGAAGCAGCAGGTATATGAAAGGCTGAGGCCAGAGCCCTCACCCTACAGAGTATCTGCGACTAAATAATACATTTCACGCTATCTAGTGGTTCCAGTAACAACCTATGATTCATGGGGTTCTCAGTAGAGAGCTCTGTAAAGAACCAGAATATTGGTTTTGGCAAGGCAGATTTCCATATGTCAGTTATATGGCAGATTAAATATGTCAGTAAAGAATAATTTTAGGTATGTAATATGTTTTTATATTAATTTTTAATACACTGGAAAATTTCTTTGCACCCATTTTATTTTTCATTACAGACAAGATTTAGAAACGCCATCGATCAGGTGTTTCCTTTAGCGACACAATCAGAGACTCAACATACAATATATGATAATTATCAGAAATAATTTTTACTTTCCTTCCTCAACTAGGTAAGGAATTTATTGTAATTGGGTCAAATTTCACAATAGACTGAGACCTCTAGTGGAACCGTTCGTAGGAGAAGAGCAAGCTGGTTTCAGACCAGGGCGTCAGACATAGGATTATATATTCACCCTCAGGAATATAATGCAAAAATCATGGGATAATGATAAAAATCTGTACTTGGCCTTCCTCAACCTTCAAGCAGCATTTGATTCAGTCCCAAGAATAGAAATATGGGAAACACTAAGAGTGAAAAATGTTCCTAGAAGCCTGGTTGAGGCCATTAAATCCATATACCAAAATCCAAAAGGAATAGTAAGATTGAATGGACAGGAATCTGGCTATTTTAGCATAGCTAAGGGCATCAAACAAGGTGATAGTTTAAGTCCGCTGCTATTTATATTATATATGGATGAAATTGCTGCAATCTGCAAAAGACGAACAGAAAGGACGATTCTGGGGCGAAGGAATCTGCTTCCAGTTGTATTTCAGTTTCTTCTGTATGCGGACGATATTGTCCTGATTGCTGATTCTGTGGAGAAGTTACAGCAGGCAGTTGACGAATGGAGCTCCTCAGGCAGGGTATGGTCATCAGTACAAGGAAGAGCAAGATCCTACAGGTTGGAAGGGTGCAGAAAGATGTTACAGTGTATTGCAACAGAGAGGTGATGGAAGTTGTGTCAGATTTCACCTACGTTGGTCCTGTTATGAATCGGTCTGGGAAAGTGGATTCAGAAATTCTGCACAGGATAAGCAAAGCAAACGCTATATATTACCAGATCTGCAATACTGTGATCGGAAAGAGAGAAGTGAGCAGAGGTGTAAAACTGCACATATTTAAGGCAGTATACTTGCCTATACTCCTGTAGGTGCAGAAAGCTGGGGACTGACTGACAAACTTGAGAGAAAAATTGCACAGCTGCAGAAATGAGGTTTCTCCGAAGGATCGCAGGGAAAACAAGACGGGACTGCATTCGCAACGAGAGAATCAGGGAGGAATTGGGGGTTCCCCCGATGAAGGGTGTCCTAAAGACTCGGCAGCTTAAGTGGTTTGGGCATGTCATCAGGATGGATGAACACAGAGATCCATTAAAGTCTATGGAATATGTCCCCGATCGGCAGAAGACCCAGCGGCAGACCGAGAATGTCGTACCTCAAATACGTAGACCGCCTGTGCAAAAATAGAAATAAAAATTTACGCCAAGTCAGAAATCTTGCAAGAAACAGGGAAAATTGGCAATCCTGGTTAGACGCCCCCCTACGCTGAAAGGCACTACAGGGTGATGCAAAAGAAGAAGAAGGGTCAAATTTCCGATCTGTGGTTTTTTCGATGGGTTTTTAAGTTTCAGAGCCATTTTTATGTGTGTTTTTTTTTAAATGTAATGAAATTCCCTACAAAAATATATAAAAATCGTTCATTTCAGACAACTATTGACAAAGTTACACAGCTATTGTTAAGACAGCTATTTTAATTTTGTATGTAAGTTGAAGAGTTGAAATCCTGGTGCCGGAAAGAGGTGAAAGTAAAAAAATTTGGTTTTCGCATCACACAAGTTTCACTTTCCCCTCCACTTTCAACAGAAATTATTCTCTGACAAAATATGGCTATTGCAAAATAGTTTTTGATTAGCAATGTTAGAATTTGTTATGCTCATCTTCCACAAGCCAGTTTAGGTTGCTTTAGACTATCAACAAAATAGTATTCAAATCATTGATACATTTTTTGGAAAATAAATCTAATACAATTTTTTATTTGCTTTGTTTTTTAAAGGACATATTTAATCTGTTGACCAGGGAATAAAATTTTGTTCAACTCGTTTCACAATGGGGAATTTCTTTCTTCTTAATTCAAGTAACAAAAGGAAATAACTTTTAACTTATTGATTTTATTTATTTCGACAAACAATTTTATAACATGTAAAAAAAAGAAGCTATTTCGTCATACCCAGTTAACAGATGAAAGGTATAAAAACTTTTCTGAAATCGGTATGAAAGTCGTGTGAGGGGACATACTAGATTTTTTTGTTTTCAATGTTTATATTTAACTGATAATACATATATTTTCGTTAACTTGTATAATTTGTCTATCAATTTTAATTTTAAATTTAAACTTTGATAACCTTAATGGACCATGCAATCTACATGTTCGGATTATCAAGGTCATGTTGTATAAACAAATCATTGTAGTAATACAACTTCTGGCCCATGGCAAGTACATTTCGTCTATTTTATCTGCAAGTATCACTAATCGGAAAGGTTCTTGCATTTGTGCGAGTAAACATACAGGAATTAATTTGATTTATTAAGAGAAGATTCTTTAGTTTTCTTCTGGCAGGAAAGGCAGCCAGCTACTATAATAAGCTTCAATATCCATAGACATCAACTGGAGTAACAACCAAACAATATGTTTAAGTAGATATGCAAGTATATTCTGTCTCATAGGTCAGAAATAGTTATTTTTGCAGTCGTTTTTATTTTTTAATTTTTTTTGAAGTGAAAAACATTTTTTTTTTCTCCTTTACTCTTTAGGTTAGCATGCTCTTTTTTGTGGAGTGAATTAAATTGAGCTGTCGGGTTTCCGATGTGTTAATGCTTGGGTAAACTTGGATGGAGGTGACTAATTGAAGTGATTTTGTATATGGATTAAAATATTTCAGAAACTAAAAATTGGAACTGCATATTGTAAATAAGTGAATTGATCAGCATTTCATCTTCTCTATATTGGGATATTATTAAAAAATCATATCTTAACGCGACGCCATGTTTGAGAGGCAAAAAGGAAAAAATAGTGTTGAATACAAAATGAAAACGAGTTTTATTGAATATATGGATTAAAATATATTCTCAAGAGAATAAAAATCAGATCTGCATACTGTGAGAAAGGAAATTGTTCAGCGTTTCATCCCCTCTGTAATAGACTATTATTCAAAATTGTATCTTAAAGCGACGCCGTTTTAGAATGGAAAAAAGGAAGAGATAGTTTCAAAAATCAAATTATAACGAGTTTTATTGAAGATATGGATAAAAATATCTCAGAAACTAAATATCGGACCTGCATACCGTAAGTGTGGGAAATGTTCAGCATTCCTCTTATTAATGAGCTATTATTTATAATTTATATTTCATATTATTAATCTCGCCTTGTTGATGTTTTCACTCCTAATGTGTGATCTAAATCACACACCTTACTTTTTCTTTTTATTACTCAATGGATTTTTATAATTTGATCCTTTTTGTACATCATCTTATCAGAATAATGATTTTTTTGAAAAATGGATGAAAAGTACAGATGAAATAACAGCAAAAATCAAAATATGATACTTCTTCTATAAATAAAACTCTAAAATTTAAATACCTGAAACAAACACAGAATCTCCCTTGTGGAAAACATCGTGCCAAATCTTGTTTTCTGAAGCTTTCTTATCAACATATCCATGGAACTCACGACTAGGGTCATTCTTCTTAATTTGACCAACAAACATCCCTGGCTCGTCTGAAATGGAGGAATTATAAAATAAATAAAAAGAACTATTTTTTTATTATAAATTTATGATATAAATAGTAATAACAAAAAACATGGTTTTTAAATTATACAAAACTAGAGGGGTAACCCAACCCCTCTGCCTAAATATATGTTCAACTGTTCATTTAATTGTACTACTCGTTGCTCAAATTGAATAACTTTAATTTACATGTGTTCTGTAGTTCAGATTATATTATTTTTTGTCAACATCAAATAAATTGAACGAAACCAGAGTTTCGAAAAATTTCTAATTTCTTTAAAAATCAATATTAAACATCACGCCTTATTACCAATTTATATCACTATATAATTATAATTATTCTTATTGCCAATTTGTAACCATAATATAGATCCCACCTCACCAGCTATCAAATAAGCCCATCAATAATTTGAGCCATTTATTTCTAATATTTTCATTGTATATTATATTGTACTTTCTTTTATATTTCATTCTAATTACATCGCAATATAATATAAATAATATTATATATAATATATTGTATTCAAGAGAAAATGTCTATATAAAATCAAACTACATTCTCCAGATGAATATACAACTCCATACAAATTTTCAGTCTAAAATCTTTATTTTGTATTAGGAATGTAGGAAGTAACTTTTTTCTTTTTTTTTTGTTTATTCTTTCCTACCTTGCGTTTTTATGCTACACAGGATTTTCCCGGGCCGGAGGGTGAGGGCAGGGAATTTAAAATCGCACCGGGACGCAAACTCATACTTTTTTAATCTCATAACTTCGATTATCTGGTTCCTGGGCAACTTGCGGTGCTGTGCACACGTGTTAGCCCATTCAGCCACCCCGCCCCCTATGTAGGAACTAACAGAAGCTCAACAGATATGTAATTAAATGAATAGCTGTATAATTTTATATAAAATAATCGTTAAAAGTTTAGATTCTGTTATCTTCTACTCTCCCAACAAAAAAATAAAACAAAATATGAAAAACACTAAAATTTTTTATATAATAGAGATTTAGTTTTTAGTTATAATTATTTGGCCTGAAATAAATATTCTTGCATTAATTAGAAACTTCATGGCCACATAAAACCCCTAGTCCGTAGCCTACCAACAAAATATACTCAAGATATCAAAATATTTCTGTTATCTCTTTGCGTTGTAATGTGCTGCGATCCACTGATTGAGTTCTATTATAAAAATAACTTACTTGCTTTGGAACGAATACATAGTCCATCTTTGTTTCTAACTGGTTTCATGGTTTCAGGGTCAATCTTAATTATTGCCACTGGGAACAAGAAAGCTGGAAGACACTGTGGGAGGGATCCAACAGCTCCGATTGTACCATCCAGGTTAGCTATAAAATTGAAAAATTATTTAAACATATTATTTTTTAATTAAAATTACAAACTAATGTTTTATGTATATATAGCATTTCCAAGTCAATTATAACCCAATCAGACATAAAGTAAGACAAAAAAATTATCATATTTGTAAAAAATAACAATTTTAATCATGATTTTAAAAATCTGGTACTCTACTTAGAATAGAAATAATTTTCTAGCAATGTTGGGCTATTTTAAACAGAGCTAAAGCTTAAAGCTTACAACTAACACATCAATAAGACCATTAAAATAACAAAAACTCTATTTATTATATCGACGGTAGGCAATAAAAATCTCGTTCCTCCATTTGTTTCATGTCATTTCAGTGATATTTCTAGTTGGAAAAGTTGTATCTATACAGACAGTGAGTAAGTTGATTCCAGAGTAGGTGACTGGAGCGTTGAAATATAGAACTGTGAATAAAGGTATAAGAGTTTTCCCACTAGAAACATTACTAAAATTAAGAATAAAAAATGTTGAAATTGGAGTTAGTCATTTCGACAATTGAAAAGTTCATAATTGCCTAGAGAGATTTGAAAGTACATCTTAATACTTAACCCTTAACTTAAAATGAAATTATGAGATTTTCATTGCCTGCCATAGATACATGAAAGTTGTTACACTAATTGCAAGTGAATAATGCTAGGATTTGACAAAGGGAAAATTCATCAAATTATTCACTAATTTAATTTTCTGAAAGGTTACTTGATGATTTTTCAGAATAAACAGTCGATAGATACCTAATTATTTAAATATAATATCAGATCTAGAATTATTAAACTACAGTAAATGTATTTAAGGTTATCAATATACCCATGAAATATTTTTATATTTCATTTCTTTTTTCACAAAAGCACAATGAAATAGTATTTTAAACAATATCATTGCATTGATTTGTTGGATTTTAAATAACTTTTTTTCAAACTTAAATAAACTTTAAAGGTTTACATTTAGTAAGAAAATTTCGTTTTATTTCCTTGGAAACATGTGATTTAAGTTAAATAATGTTAGTTTCCAAAAATTATTATTTATATTTTTTTCTCATAACTTTCCATTACCTTCTACAACTTCATTTATTTGATATTATTTTTTCTAAAATTCTCCGCTTTTTAATGATATATTATATGTATACCTTCTGACTGTTATTTGCAGATTCATTTTTGATCTGGATAAACATTTTTCTTTTTTCTTTATTATTTAATTAACAAATCCTTTCAAAAGTTATATTTAGCATTTTTTGGTAACTCATAACAATGAGTCAGTTAATTTTTTTTAAATCAACCAAATTAAAGTTATTTTAGTGGAAGATATATTGAACATAGGACATTTAAGCCCCGTAAGTGTTGTGACATAAATGTGGATAAGGCCTAGCTGATATTAAATATCACTTAATAATGCACTTCTAAACCAAGTCTAATCAAAATCTTTAGAGCCGTTTTTGAGAAAATCGTAAAAATGCGTTCCGTTTTGCCGATTTTAATGAAAACGTTGCTGCAACATCCCAGCCATATACAAACCTTAAATACGTAATTTCAGTTTCGTACAGGTTTTCGTTTTTGAGCTAGAGTGTTCATATAAACACAGACCACTTTGCGAGACTTGGTTAGATTTGGACTCAGGGGACCTCAAAATGTGTATTTCCATTGAAAACTACAATTAGAAAATTTTCATGATCTCAATACTTTCCCTTACTATATATTACATGTATAGGTAAGTGAAAGTAAAAATAATTTTGCTATATTCTTCCAATATTTTTTCATGTATCAGAAAAAAAAATATTTGTGTTCAGTGTCAACATAAAGATAGAACAATAGAAAACTGAATACTACACATGTAACACACACAGAGATAATCAAAAATAAACACAGAAGGTTTGAAGGGAATTCTGTTCTATTATGAAGTTTTTTTTAACATACACTATAGATCTAAAGATATAAAATTCAAAAATTTAGTTCTAAGTGAAACTCCTAGCTGAACACACCTCCTTGAAGAAGATCTGCAAAGTCGGGTCGAAACGTTGGCTTTTAATAAAATAGTTTTACCACTATTTAGTCTATTTATGACAGCCACCATCTCCTTCTTTTATAATGCAACGGTGAACTATTAAATATTCAAAAATATAATAACTCTAATAATTAAGTTTATTAGAATATATATTGTTCTAATGAAATAGCTGATTTAGTATTACTTATTCATTCATTATAGACCTAAATAAAGATTTTCCATTTTTTCTTCATTTTTCAGTTATCAAATTCTTTCATAAGTTATATTTAGCATTTTTTTGCAACTCCTAACAATGAGAGATAGTTAATTCATTAAATAAACCAAATTAAAGGTACTTTAGAGAAATACATGTTGAACAATGGACATTTAAGTCCTATGAAGTGACATCAATGGGTATAAGACCTAAATTATATTAAAGATCACATAATTATACAATGATATACCAAGATTAATCAAAATCCGTTAATCAAGAGCCGTTTTTGAGAAAATTGTAAAAATGTGTATCACCACTGATAAAAAGTGGCACTTCCGACTCGCCGATTTTGACGAAATAACATCCCAGGTATGTATTTATCTTAAATAGGAAATATCAGTTTCATACGACTTTTCGTTTTTGACCTAGACTGTTCACATACACACATAGAGCATTTTGTGGAACTTCGTTATTTGGACTCAAAACGTGTATTTCCGTTGAAAACTCAAATTCAAAAATTTTCAAGATCGCAACACTTTCCCTAACTATATATACATATATAGATAAGTGAAAGTAAAAAATTGAATGTTAAGAATAAATAGAATTTTTATAATTTTTAAGGGAGTAAATGAACGTTGTATCAAAATGTGCTGTGTAACCATATCAACATTTAAGTGGCTTCTGGATGTGGCTCTTTAGAATAGTTTTCACATTTATTTTAAAACAAAAAGATAAAATAAACCAACCAGATTTTACATGCGAGTAACATAATAGATGTAATATGGTATAGAAAGAAAGGATATTAGATTAAATGACAATTAGTTAAACCAGCAAAGAAAGATAACTATTAAAAATCAATTCACGACCATATACATGTCTGGTGTTACCACATGGTAATGGGCAAAAGCAAAAAATGTCACATTATTATTTACTTTATTTAGACTAGATAATGATTTTTACAAGATTCATAGGCAGAGGCTAGATTTTTATAAAGTGCCAAAATATGAAATTAAATTACTTGAATAAAAATTATGACTATTAATACTAAAAGCTAAAATTAGTTAATAAAAAAAATGTTTATTAATACTAACAGCTAAAATTAGTAATCACATAGTTGAAATCGAAAGAACATTTTTTTTAGGTCCTCGCCTTTTGGCTAAACGAGAGTTTTCCTGGGCCAGGAGTAAGCGTGGGGGATTAATGCCGGAGTTAAAAGCTCCCCCCTCATCGGGGAGTGAACTCGTAATAATTTAATCATGTTATATCTCAGTTTATCCGGTTGCTGGGTAACTCATGTTTTGCATACGACCGAGTGCTCTTTAATATTAAAGTTTCAATTGTTATATCCCACAATAAATATTTTATTTTACATACAATTGTATTAAGAAATTAATTTATTAAAATACATTAGTAGGTCACAGAAAAAAATAAATAAAACCTTTGTAATAATTTTTATTGAAAACACGTGTACTTTTAGGGAACAAAATTTCACATCATGCAATTTTTTTCACAAAACTGTAGGAAATGTTTAGCAGAAAAAACGTTTATTAAAATTTGACAATTTGTAGGAAGTTGATAAAAACATAATGAATAATCCATGATTTTACGAAAAACAGAATTTCGTGTAGTTTCGTCGTTTGAAAGCACCATTGTTTAATATTAGAAAAAAAAATTCTACTTATTTTTTGAAGAAAATTTTGTCTAGTTTACGATGTGAGATGGGAATGATCTTAATTAAATAATTTTTTAGTTATTGCTTCCTATTCAAGAGAAATATGACATCCTAAAAACAAAACTAAATATACTCCTTCCGCATTGATAAGTCTGCTATCTCTTCTTTAAGTTTTGGACCTAGTTTACGTTATACTCTGTATATGGTTAATTGGAATTAATATTTACAAAACATTATAAATTACACAAATGAATAAATATGAAATGACAAATAATAAATAAGAAAAAATTTAAATTTTCATACTTTACTGGAGTAAATCAAAACTAAAAAAATAATAATATATTGATAAGAAAAATGAATAAATCATAAATAAAGAAGTACCTATGTTAACATTTCCTTCAGTAGCTCCATATACTTCAGTGATACGAGGAATTTGGAACCTTCTCACGAATGCAGACCAAATGGCAGGTCGGAGGCCATTACCTATCATATTTCTTAAAGTATGTTGAGTATCTTCCGGTTTTGGAATTGTTGCCAACATATAACGACACATTTCCCCAATGTACTGACCAATCTATGAAAATACAGAAATGAAATTTATCGTCAAGTTTACTTCATAGAACTACTAATCAATTCAATTAAGACACTGAATTGAGATAAATAACTACAAAATTAAGTAACTTAATGCTATTACTAGTAATACGTCATTGTTATAATAATTTAACAACTTATTAGACCAGAAATATTACATAGTAAATTAAAAAACCATTTTTTATTTTGTGATGTCAGTGTTATAGCTTTCCATTTTAATTTATAAAATGGTTGACATCTTTCCCAAATTTATTAGAACCCAGAAAGTCGGCATTCTATTACATAAAAAAAAAAGAACAACTTCAGGATATATTTATATACAATATTAATTATGTACAAATGGTTTTCTTTATTATTAAATATTGTACGAGTCTGTTGGGAGGAGATAGTAAGTCTCTCATTGATGAAAAATATCCAGAAAAAAAAAGAAATATTTTCACAAGTATATTCAATTTTTTTAATTTATAAAAATATGAATACTTATTTTAATTTTGTTTTCTGCAAAAGTTGAAACAGACTATTATTATTTTTCTATTAAACACTATCAGCACATAAAATCACAATTTCCAGCAATTGATTTTAAATTATTCTCTCAAAAAGATCAATCTGAGATTTGGTCACGAAACATTTATAATTTGTAAACATGACTTATAAAATCTTTTCTTAAACTTTTACGAATGTTTAGTGGGTTTAAAAATAGAACATCAAAAGACAATTATTAACTTTAAATCTTTTTCTTCTATTTATGGGTTAAATCTTATAGGTGACAACCATAATACATGATTAATAGCTGGACAGAAAAAAATAATTGTTTTTGCTTTAAAATTAATAATTGTTGCTTATAATTCATTCAATTTAACGTATCTATCAGTAGAAAACAAAATATTTAAATTTGTATACTTATATAAAGGTTAAATATATTATCAATTTAATGTGTATATTAAATGTATAATAAGCCAACATTCCTCAAAGAAGTATATTGGGATATCATTTGTATTGAGCTGAAACAGGGTTATTGATTGTATTAAATTTTAATAGGTACTCTATAGACATAAGGTACAATGCCAAATGTAAATCAAATATTTGTAGGAAACAAGTAATCAACTTTTTAAAAATAATAATTATTAACATTAACTATAAACAAAATCATAAAATTATAATAGAAATTTATGAATTCTAGTCAAGTTATTTTTAAGAGAATAAAACTATGTAAAAAAACCCATCCATAAACCAATTCATAACTAAATAACTGAAACAGGTAAAAGTTTATATAAATAAATTTGCAAACCAAAAATAACACACTTCCTTAAAACAGAAAGTTAATATTTTTTTTATTTCTTGTTTTTAAGCCTACAGAAATAATAGAAAATTGATGCCAATTATACCTGATATCAACATCTATCTTATCAACTATTATAAAACAGAACATATACTATTCAATATGTAAATCTGAGGAATTGTATTGCAGACTGGTTTAATTTTATATAGCAAGTGAAGGGGAAAAAATATATTCATACAGACTTTTGAAAACATAATATCAACTTACAGTAGCTTTATATTTGATGCAATCAGTTATATATGAGGAAGCTGAGAATTTCTTTCTGAGAACAGTTTTTATACCATGGCTCAGCGCAGGCCCTGCTCCTAAAGTACCACCCGCGGTATGGTACAGTGGTAAAGGGTTATAAATAATATCATCATCCTGAAGATCAAGAAGACTTATCATAGCCAAAGTGGCTAAAACGAATCTGTAAAATAGGATTTTATGTGAAAAAAAATAATTGAATACTTATGTGTATAAAAAAGAAACAAAAAGGTATTTCTACCTAGAATGAGGCATAACTGCTGCTTTAGGGAGACCAGTGGTCCCAGAAGTATAAATATAAAGAAGTTTATCATGGATAGAGATTTCATGTGATACTGGATTTGTAGTTGGCGCATTTTCCATCATTTGTACTAAATTTTTAACTTTATCATCCTTAACAGTACCAGAGGCTTGATACATATCAACAGTAACTGATTCAAGATCAAAAACCACTGCAAAAAAATAAAAAGTAAATTTTTGTTAGAAATAAAATCAATTTTGGCCAACAAACAAAGGGAGTCATTTGTGACCTACTTTCCGATAAATCATCAGAGAATATCATGGCTTTGCATGATGCAGCATCAAGACAATGCTTAAGAGGGCTTCCTTTTAGGTTTGAATTAATCAATGCTGTTATAACACCAATTTTTGCAAGTCCGAGCCAAATACAAATGAATTCTGGCCGATTAGTCATGAACAAAGCAACTACATCGCCTTTTTGAAATCCGGCTTCTTTAAATATATTGCCTATTTTATTGCTATAGTTTTCAACCTAATGAAAAAAAATACATCAAGTCAGAACAGTAGAAAATATTGGAAACAAAAAAATAATATTAATAAAAAATTTCATTACATCTCTCATAGTCCAAACTTGATCTTCAAATAAATAAATAGCTTTATCTGGAGTTTTTTCTAATTGTCTTTTGAACAAGGTAACTATGGTCAAGTTTTGTTTTGTACACTTCTTAGATGTAACAATTAGCCTGCCCATACTTCGAATAAACCTGTAAATAAAATAAAATGTTCAATTCATGAACTGAAAGCCTCGAGAAAAAATATATGATAAGACTTAATATACTTACCTAACATCGCGAGGGAATGTTTTGATGATAATATAAACTCTTCGTCTAAAATAAATTAGGGCACAAGTTATGGTCACTAAAATTGTCCAAAAGAATCCTAAAAAATAAATTAGGATTGCTGGAGGAATGAGGAAAAAAGCAAGGTTGCCTAAATTCATGACTGCAGTCCTAAAATGTCCTTACAAACGTGTAGGAAAATTCTTATCACATATAACTGTATCACATTAAACGAAGTGCGTAAACGGAGGGAAAAGCGATTCCTGTGGGTTCTCTTCAATGTAGATTCTACTATTGAGACTTATTGCTAAAGAACGATAAACGAAGAACAAACCCGAAACTACACGGAACACCTAATCCCAGAAGTAGAATGAAATCTCGATTACCTCCTCGACACTGTTCAACTCCCCCCCACTCCCAGGCGCATGAGCACATATTGTCTTTACGATTTCTATTTAATGACGAAAAAAACTCTTATAACTCAATATAATCTTTTGATGAATTAATTTAAAATAATCTAATGTAGAACTATTGTCACATAAGAAGCCAAGGAGAAAATAAGTCAAGTCTGCATCCTAACCTTTTCAGATTCTGGAAACCCATGTAGAATTTTATCAATTCTATTCATTTTGTGTTAAATGAAAACCCTCAGATTACACAATTAAAAAAAAACGAGAATTTAAGAATTTTTTTTTACTGATGTGGTTTTGAATAGATCCCAAACAGTAATTTTGTTACAAATAATCTTGGGCTTTGCTGCCCAGTGTATCCACCTGGTTACGTCAGATTTATGTAGGTACGTATTAACTTATTTTACTTTTAGTTTATATGAATTATTTCCTTCAGAGAAATTACTACATTGGTAAAAAAACAATGACTATTGTATTGTACCCTAGTTAACACGCTTATTTTCTTTATTGAAAAGTATGCTATAGATTTTTAAAATTATGTTAATTTTGTTTGTCTTCGGTTTCAAAAATTCATTACAATTGAGGCTGGTAAGAATTTTATTTTGGTGCTTTAATTAAATCGTATGGTGAATCGAATAAAAATATTAACTATTCGTGTTAATATCGAAAAGTTTTTTAACCAAGCTATTACGATAAATCATTTGTATTAAATCTAACATTATTAAATAACATATTTAATAGTAGGATTTAAAGTTGAAAATTGGTTATAATTATAGTTGCTTAAGTTAAATGATAGTTTATCTTGGTCACCACTTGGATGGGTGACCTATTGTATTAGGTGAAAACAAAAGGGGGAGGGAACGAAAACCCGTCCGATTATTCTGGAGTAGTCCTACAGAAGCAACAAATTGGAATTTGGATCGGAGACCTACGAAGATCTTTTAATATCTCGCTAACATAGATAACTCGCCTGCTCTAGTTATGTTTTTAATTAGTTAAGAGTAGCCACTTTATAGAGACTGGGTGTGCCACATAGGAGGGTTTCCTGATTCCAGGATCGATGGATCCTAGATCGAGGGCATGTTTTACTAACTAAATAATTACATGCCACAGCCGGACTCTACCCCTTAGGGGGTAGAGGGTAGAGCAGGGCTTTATAGGTAGAGCAGGAGCACGGCGGCTTACTTACTGAACCACCTTACTCGGTTAAAGGTTGTAAGAAATCGTTAAATTGAAACTAAGAAACGATTTGATAATTAATTAAAGGAGAAAAAAATATATATATTTTTTAAGTTGTAAACGAAATTCTAAAAATTAGTGTAGTAACATATATGTATATGGAAGTTGTAGAAGATAATTAATCTTTGTTGTAGTTTATAATTTTTACTTCCACTTGCCTATATATTAAATATATCGTCAAAAAAGTTTCAATCATGAAAAATTTCCAATCTGAGTTTTGAACTGAAATAGATGTTTCAAGACTCCTTGTGTACAAATAATAAAATCTCCTAAAAAGGTCTGTGTGTAAAATTTATGGTATGTGAACAGTTTAGCTCAAAACAAAGAGTAATACCAAACTGCTATTACGTGTTTAATGTAAGTATACATTTGAAATGATACAGCTTCTATTCCAGGGACTTCTTCTCTCCAGGTCAACCCCTCCAGAACTGCTTGCCACCGTCAGACTGTTGTGTACCACCTATAAAGACTGACCGTCCATTAGCTTTATCTTTATTGCACTTATTAGCAGATATTAGGCCTCAGTATTCTTAGGTCTAGGACCCTACCTGACGTTTACCAGAGCAATTTGCGTCGGCGGCTGTTAAAACCTTTCTTTATTAGGCTAAGTATATTCATTTATATTAAATCTTTAAATATGTTTTAATTCGTACGTCATGTCTCTACGATACATAAGCAATGCGTACCTAAATTATCATATTGTTAGCTATATATGCATCATATTGCATATATGTATCATATTGGAGTTTGCATTCAACTGCAAAATGTGAATTATCGCCTATGATCAGTGATGAATTTTCATTGACTTCATCGTAATGCTAATGGGCTCATTTTATTTAGAAACAGGAAATATTAAAAAATATTGCGTGTCTCAACCTACTTTTAGCTAAATTTCAATTATTCCTCCATTTTCAACCCACAACCCTCTTGAATGGTGGTTTAAAAAGGACTCTTATTATTGTTCGTGTAACTACATTTCATTGGACTACAAGAATCACTTCAACAGCATATCATATAGGTAGTTAGTTTCTTCCTTTTTTTTCAAATTGCTTATCGTTATATACATAAAAAAAAAGCTTTCGGGCTGAAGCCCCCCTTCAAAAATTTAATCGTGGATCCGCTAGTGTAAGAAGTTATGGCCAAAGTTTCATCAATGTACAAATTTTTTCTATATTTGGTCTATTCCATCTCAAATTAACAAATCTCTTTCTTTGTGTTTCTATTATGTCTATTATTAACGAATCTAAATGTCTTTTAAAACATTCCTTAGAAACATTTATCGATTGAACACAATATTACATAATCTTTTATCAACAATACTATCCAACTGATTACCTACTAGATATTGACTCTGAACTCTTATCTATGGTTTACCTGCTCTTACTTATCAGCATATAGTTAATCAGTAATTTATAGCTTTTACGTCTATACTATGTTATCATCGATATATATTCTAATTATTATTTTTACTTTCCCAAATATACATTAAAGAAAAGTATTGCGATCGTGAAACATTTCGAATCCGCGTTTTCAACGGCTGTATATATTTCAAGGTCCCTCCGAGTTCAAAGAACGTCATATAAAATGGTGTGTATATGATGAACAGCATAGTTCAAAATCAAAAATACATTCGGACCTGAAGTAGTACACCAAAATGTTGGTAATTTTAAATTAGAGTAATATTGGTATTATTTTGGTTTATTATTCACAATAATGAATCATTTTAATCTACCGAAAAATTCAAAAAGTTAACTAACCATAATTTGAGGTTTTATGTTTCACGATACGTACAATCCGAAAATCGAATAAATTAATAAAGGCAACTCGTCGACATTACCATCCGCCTTTTTCTTTCATGATGGCGGCCAAAAAAACTGTCGCTGTAGACTGTAACGCCTAAACGAATGTAACAATTTGAATGAAAGCGCCTAAACAAATTTGCCGATTTCAATGGAAATTGGCTGAAGTCTTTTCCTTCGAGGCACTTTAAATTAATGTACATGTCATACTTTACCGAAAAGAAGCTGAAAAAAGGGACGCAAAAATTATATTTACGAACAACAGGAAATGTAAAAACTTTTCTCTTGTTTTTATTTAATTTAAATAGACATGTGTATATTTAAGTATTTATTTTGTTAGATTAGTTTATTTTTGTTTAGTTTAGTATCTTTTAGTTTATATACATTTGGTTTAGTATTATTATATTGCTGTTTATTATTTTTATTTATTGTGCATAGTATGAATGAGCTACTCTATATCACTATTACTATTGTCCTTGAATGTGGCAGATTGTAATATATCTCAATAAAGACTATTTGTTATACCTATTTGGTTATACCTAGATACTCCTCTTTCCCAATATGCCAGAAATGAAGAGCTATGGAATAATACATGAGTCTCAAAACAACGTCCCACAAGCATTTCCATCCAACTCGCCAAAATGTCTTTGTTTACACATAGCCAAATTTTTTTTATTTTTATTTCTTTATGACATTTACAACTGTATTACATAAATACATCAAGTAAATTTGGACATAATTGATATAATGACATGAATACACTTGCTGAGTAACTACCCAATGGTAACACTCCAATGATATGACTACATTAGGAGATCACGGGGCCATCTTCTTTTCAGACGCCTCGGAGGGTTATCAGGAATTGGAGAGGAAGCAAGGTTAGAAACTAGAGGGTTGGGATGATTCTGAAGTTTATTATGGAAGGATAGGTATCTGGATGCAAAATTTTTAAAACTTAAAATATGAAATTTGTGTAGTGGGGGGGGGGGAGCTCGGTGGTAGGGTGCTGACCTTACGATGCTGAAGTCCCAGGTTCATATCCCGGCTTATGGCAGATAAATTATTTATACTGTTACATCGGCCGTGGGTCTCCCTAGGATCTGGAGACCCTCCTGGGGCACACCCCGACTCACTTAATTAAAATAATTAATTAGGGGGGCGAAACCTGGCGCTTGGGCATGATCTAGGTCAAATCACCTCCTTGCACAACCATTGACTAAGAAACAGAATTTTTCCTATTAGTTTCCTTCAACATTAACATAAAGTCACTTCTTTATGAAAGCGAGACATCTCTACATCAGGTGATAAAATAGGTACGAAGTTTAACAATAGCATCTAGAATAAATTGAACTTGTGATGATCGGAATCAATTCCAATGTTGAGGTCTGGGAATTAAACAAGCAAGAATGAAGAGATTGTTATGAAACAAATGGATCATTTTTTATTGATAACACATCTCCCATCAATGCATCTTAAATGAAATATTAACTTACAGACTACATTATAGCGAGTTATAATTTAAATCTTTAAGAGGCGAATTTATAGCATTCGGTCAAAGTACAATGCCATATTCGCTTTCAATGATGATTACATTTGCAATAATTATTAAACATCTTCCGATTATTCTCCTTTGTTGTTTTTTTTTCCATTAATTTACTTACGGCGAATTTTCCCATTGAGTAGTTATCATGTTTCTACTAACAGGTATAGGTAGGTATACATAAGGTATTTTCGCATATATTTTATTAAAAATTCAAGGAATTTCATTCAATTGTGCAATGATGAAAACATGAATTATTTAATTATTCGTTCTTCAAAAAACCGTTTTCTTATAGTTTATTTGGTAATTTTTAACTTTTAGATTGGTACAAAAAATTAATATTTTTGCTTATCCTTATGCAGTCAATTTTATCTTTATAAATACCCAAGAGAACTCTATTTTACCACCATTTTAA